GAAATAAAAAATAGTTCAAATGAGCAATATATTTACTCAATTGAACTATTGTTCATTTTAACTACTCACGTGGTACCACGTGCAGTAGTTTAAATGAACAGTAGTTGAAATGAATCATAGTTCAAATGAACAATAGTTCAAACGGGAGTAGTTCAAATGAGATAGCATCTTAGGTCATCGTTAAAAAATGGTCCTATAGTCGCTACGCAACAGAATTTCCGCGGCAACTGCGCTTATACTTTTGAACAACAAATCAAATTAAACACTTATCTTAAATCAAATATCTTAAATTAAAAATATATTTATGCAATTTAAATTAAATAACACATGCTTATTTATGCTAACTTTCTCCTCTCATATTGCCGTCTAATGGAGGTTAAATATATTATAATTTTTAAACCAATTTAACAAACGTTTTGAAATTAGAATAATTTGTTTTATCATAACTATTAAAGGAGGTCCGTCCTAGTAAATGATGTTTGCAACATGACCCTGATTTCAATCGTTTTTCAACACGAATTAATATACTTTATTTTACAATATATAAGGATATGGTCCAAAAATTGTTCTGTAGGAAATTGCCATGAAAGATATTTAAGTTTTTAAAAAGATTCAGAAAGAACTCAACCTGCGTTTGCCCTGGAGGGGTGGGCGGGGGTTAGATTTGGCAGCAGCCAACACAGTTAGGTGAGCATGTCGCAATGACCGAAAGAGAGCCAGTTCTGGCCCACAAGCCTGTCCTAGCTGCAGCAGTTGGCTTGTCCCCATCAATTGGGATTGATATATATATACCTTGTTGATAGCTAGGCTTGTGTCCTTGTGTGGCATTTAGAGCACTGAAACCCTGCGTTAATATATAACCAGGTTTTTTATTCACCTAATTCCTTATAAAGTTTATTCAACAGCTTTAAACAATTCGAAATTGAAATGAATAATCTAGGGAACACACTGTATTAATGTACTCTACTGCACATAATTTGTGAACATTTACATGATTTGCACACTTTGAACTCCCTTTCAGGCTGAAAGGGACTGACAAAATTCATACCTATAGGGATTGTCAAAATTCCACTCTAATATATATTCTATTCTCTTTGGTTGTATCCTGGTTGACTTTGATGTTGGACGAGTTGAACCTGGATAGATACGTTTCGAGAACTTGTAATGGAGTAGGGCTTTACTATACGTTCCTACTCCTACACCCTCTATATACTATTCTTCCTACTTCTACACCTTCCATATATTACCCTTCCTACTCCTACACCTTACAAATACAGGGTGTTTTTAATTCTGTAATTTTTGTAAAGCTTATATCTGAGTCATCAAAAAAATATTTTAGACTTTTAAAAGTTCTGATTAGCTTATTAATGAACGTTTTGTAATTCGAAAAATAAAAATACGTAAATCCACAATTTCAAATTGTCGTGAACGATGGTGATGTTCAGAAAAATAGAATGATGGACAAACAATTTGGATCGTTTACAGAAATGAATAAAAAATCGTTTTTTAAAAACGAACGATTAAAAATAAAAATGAAAGATTTAAAACGATATCAAAATAAGGCGATCCATTTTTCACTGACAATTCTGCATATTAGGAGGCTCCGGAGGTCTTTCACGGGGCTCATGGCAGCTCTGCAACCGCTTCGACGTTAAACACAATATTGGATTGCAAGAACAGACAATTGAAACAAACAGCATGAAGAACTTGTTGGTCTAATTAAGTTTTTGCGTTTACTAAATATTTCCTTCTTTTTACACTCCACAAAAATACTTTTTTCAGGTGATGAGGTGAAAATACGTAAACTAATATTTTTTTCCTTTTCAGACAAGGAGAGATAAACTTTTGTTAGGAAAATATATATGTCTCTTTTTTGTATAAAATTTGTGCTTAATTTAATAATCTAATAGCTCGCAAAAAGAACAGAGTTGGTTTTAAAGTTGGGATTTTAAAATCGATAGAGAGATAGTTCAACTATAGATCTGTCTAGTTAAACAACTTCTCTATTGCCAATGAGGTTAACTACAGAATTTGTTTAACTTAAAGGGAGTGTTCTCGAAAAATGAAAAGGGGTATAGGCTTAATGCGATAAAAAAGCGCTTTTGATCGCTACTAATCTTACTTATATCTGTTGTGTCTATCAGGAGAAAATTGTTAAAACCAAATACACCGAAGAACGCACCGAACACTCCATTTAACGTACGTGCAGTTCAACTGCTTCCTGGTATTTATTAATTCTCATCTCAGAAAGTAAAAATCTTGAAATTATACTGTTTAATTAATAAAAAAGTTTTTACAATTTATCCAAAATTGTAAAAATTTAACGTTGATTTTAAAAATTTGTTCATTTAGGTAAAAGGATAAGTTTTGCAGAATATATGTATTCACAAATGTCAGTTTCCATATTACACAGAGCGTCCCATATCATATTAGATTATCTCCAAGCTTTAACGCCAAAATAAACACTTGGATAGCCTGACATTTTCTGCAAGAAAATTTTTATTCCATTTTACAAGATGATTTTTTTTCTTAATATTTCTTATTAGGCCCGAAAAATGTAATTTAGACCCTGCAATTAACGATGGGACACCATGTATGTGTCAACAAATCACAATTGTGTCAAAAAAATTCTTCTGTGGCGCGTTCTTATCACAAATGTGCACCCCTATTTTGTAAAATCCTAGTTAAAAGCCTGTTTTCAATTGTTACTTGAATAAGTTAGTTATGAAAAAAGAAATGGAAAGTTGTCATCATAGTATTAATATAAATTTTGGGAATGCAAACAATCTCATTATTTGATAAGTTTATCAGTTAAAAATTAAAAACATAAAAATATATTTATTTTCAGTAGTTGTCACGGAGACCTCGCAGACGGCAAAATAAATGATCCACAAAGCATTGAAAAAAAAATAAACTACTAGCCTAAGTGCCCGGCGTTCATCGTAATTAAATTTCAATTTTACAAATTCTTATAGTTATTCTTTGCAATTCATGCAGAAGTACCTTACATTGCCCGTGATTTTAAAAATATATTATTTTAATTTTACATATTCTAGTTATTCTCTGCAATTCGTACATTTTTCAAAACCAGATTAAAAAAGCACTAAAGTCTTTACTTATTGCAAGGAAGATCATGAAAGATCCTGCATGCATAATAACTTTATTACGTTGAAAATAAAAATATATGCAGGATCAAAAGACTTATTACAGAAAAGAATATAAAAAATATTTTTTCTTTGGAAGGAACATTAAAAGGTAAAAAATTGAGATTTTTAAAGTTTTTGAATAAAGCGGAAACGAATCTAAATTATGAGAAAACAGACCTAAAGTTTGAGGAAACTGATCTAAAATATGAGGAAACAGATCAATTTTTAAGTTTTTGAAAAAGAGGAAACGGATCTAAAATATTAGGAAACAGACCTAAAATTTGAGGAAACCAAACAACAAAATGAGATTTTTTAAGTTTTTAAAAAAAGCTGAAACAAATCTAAAATATGAGGAAACTTTAGATACGTTTCCTCTTTTTTAAAACTTTAAAATTGATCAGTTTCCTCAAATTTTGGGTCCGTTTCCTCATATTTAAGATTTGGTTCCGCTTTTTACAAAAACTTTAAAATCTCAATTTGTTGATCGGTTTTCTCTAATTTTAGGTCAGTTTCCTCATATTTTATTTTTAGATCCGTTTCCTCTTTTTTTCAAAAACTTAAAAATTGATCTGTTTCCTCATATTTTAGTTCAGTTTCCTCAAGTTTTAAACCTAATATTTGAGGTCAACAAATTGAGATTTTTAAAGTTTTGAAAAAGCAGAAACGGATCAAAATATGAGGACACGGACCTAAATTTTGAGGAAACCGATCAACAAATTTGCCATAAATATTCCTGGCGGGAAAACAAAATTTTAGTCCAATCTAACAAGGTACCGGTTGATTTGTGTTCACTTGGCCGTATGTTCAATCAGAATATAAACCGGTTTCTGATGAGCTGACTTTAGTGCATATGTACGTTAGTTCAATCGGACATTAATACAGACATTTAAGATAAAATTGTCAAAAATAGTTTTTTTTTGAATCGTTACAAATTGCCGATTGCAGAATCCATACAAATTTACTCAATCTCCATCCATCGAAATAATTTGGAGAAACCAAAACTTTTAGCTTGGGACAGGAAAAATATAGTAATTATTAACTGTATTTGTAATTCAAAACTATATAATAAGAAAATTTGGAATTTTTTAACATAAATGATTTAAAAAGTACAAAACTTAATGACGAATCAATTTCAGTGTGAAATGATGATTTGAGGGGGGGTGACTTAGGAAGTTAAGCGGAGGTGCCAGCAAAACATAAAGGTGCCGACTGCCGACATGTTTTTGAAAACATTTTTAAAAAGCTTGGAAACTTTGAAAGATCTCTTGACTATTAACTTGACATTCTCAAAATGTGCTCATTACAGTATTTACCATCAAGCTCTCTTCTTAAGATGTGGAATAACCTGCCTCTTGACTTAAAAAGAAGCAACTCTCTAAGTATATTTTAAAATAGACTACTAAATTCTCTTTTTGAAAATTACATTACAAATTACAATGTGTTATAAACCGAATTGCTATTCATGTAAAACTAATTAGAAATGTTTTAATATGCTTTGATATTTGTTGTGTACATGTCAGAAAATTACTTTAAACTCTAGTTATTCGAATTAATGTATAAACTATTTTGCATATGATAAATTTGCACCCTGATCTCTAATAGTTCTCCTTAAATCTATTTAATTGAAATGTGTTGTTATCATTATTAAAATTAGGTGGGAAAAAAATCAAAACAGCCAAGAGCTATTTTCCACCTAATTGCTTTATACTTGTACTGTTAATATAATCATCAATTTGTAATTGTAAACTCGTTCTGTAAACAGATACATGTATTTTAGCAATAAACTTTATCTTATCTTATCTTCTCTGTCTAACATGCAGAAAACAAAGTGAACCAGGATAATGTGTCTATTGAGCACGTATAAAAAAATTGTATTTTCGACCTAAAATCTACATTTCAAAATTCTATTTATCAAAACATAATTATAATTGTCAATTCTTTGAAAAGCTTGAGTTAAACAATAAACCTACAAGTCTTGAACCAAATCAGTTCACTATTTTATTCCTAAACAAAAAAATGTATAGGCCAGGCAAACCAAAACATAAAAAACCGTTTTGAAATAGAGAAATAGGTAAATTTTTTATTACTGACCATTTTGAAGGTTTTTTCTGGCCATTTAAAAAACAATTTGTTCAAGTATTGAAAATCTGGAAATTCACGAGTTTTGAAGTTTGTAAAGAAAAGGCATTATTTTCCAAATTTTTTGAGCTATACCAATTCTTAATAATAATTTAGAAACTTATGGTAACTTTCCTTTTGCATGTTTGGTTAACATATGTCTACCGTGTTTAGAAATGGGTCTGAGGCTGTATTTGAACAGATCTTGAAGGCTGGGGCTGTATTTGAATAGATCTTGATAAGCTGGGGCTGTATTTGAACAGATCTTAAAGGCTGGGGATGTACTTGAACAGATCTTGAAGGCTAGGGCTGTATTTGAACAGATCTTAAAGGGTGGGGCTGTATTTGAACAGATCTTGAAGCCTGAGGCTGTATTTGAACAGATCTTGAAGGCTGAGGCTGTATTTGAACAGATCTTAAAGGTTGAGGCTGTATTTGAACAGATCTTGAAGTTTGAGGCTGTATTTGAACATATCTTGAAGCCTGAGGCTGTATTTGAACAGATCTTGAAGTCTGAGTCTGCATTTGAACAGATCTTGAAGTCTGGGGCTGTATTTGAACAGATCTTGAAGTCTGAGTCTGCATTTGAACAGATCTTGAAGTCTGGGGCTGTATTAGAACAGATCTTGAAGGTTGAGGCTGTATTTGAACAGATCTTGAAGGCTGATGCTGTATTAGAACAGATGTTTAAGGTTAAGGCTATATTTGAACATATCTTGAAGCCTGAGGCTTTATTTGAACAGATCTTAAAGGTTGAGGCTGTATTTAAACAGATCTTGAAGTCTGAGGCTGTATTTGAACAGATATTGAAGGCTGAGGCTGTATTTGAACAGATCTTAAAGGTTGAGGCTATATTTGAACATATCTTGAAGCCTGAGGCTGTATTTGAACAGATCTTAAAGGTTGAGGCTGTATTTGAACAGATCTTGAAGCCTGAGGCTGTATTTGAACATATCTTGAAGCCTGAGGCTGTATTTGAACAGATCTTAAAGGCTGAGGCTGTATTTGAACAGATCTTAAAGGTTGGGGCTGTATTTGAACAGATCTTAAAGTCTTCGCCGCACAAATAGTTGAGGCTGTGACTGAAACCGTCTTGGACGTTGTCTTTGTTGAGGTCGCTGTCTCTGGTACTGAAATATTAGACTTCATGTTGAAGAAAAGTCTACTAAATTTTTTTCATAATCCGGTCATGAGTTAAAAAAATGTTAGTTTTAATTTATAGAAGAGTCCCTGTGTAAATCTTAAGGTATTGCAGGATATAGTTAAAATTGTTGCGTTTCCATAGAAATAAAATGTTGTTCTTTCTTAGATAAAGATGAAAGATAAAAGTTTAATCTTTCTATTTTCCATGTCCAAATTGAGTCGTGGACTGTTGCTTGCCAAGAATGAAAAGTTTTAGCTAACAAACTCGACTTAACTATTTTCTAATTCACTTTGGTTTTAATTGGATTGGTAGTATTTGAAAGCTTAAGTTTAAAAGAAGGTTTGGAAATCTCAAATAGAAAATACCAAGGTACATACTACACAGTAGCAAAAAGACGACTTAAAAGTAGTCTTTGATTTTTAAATTTATTTGTTTCATTTAGTCGTCAACTTATATTAAGCCTAGTCACATTTAGCCTAGTCACATTTTGCCTTGGTTAAATCATGCCTTGGAAACAACTTCTTATAATTTTGCCAAAATTTGACAAAATGCTACCTGCAAGGCAAAGCGTTAAGAAGCAAACCTGAACATGACAAAATGTGACGAGTCCAAAATTTTCATATTCATGGCATTTCAAAAATGTAGTCTGCCTTTTCTGTGCTGTCAATATTACCAAAGATATTAAGAATTTCGTTCAGATTTCAACTTTATTAAATAAAACCGAAACTGTCGAAATCTGAACGAAATTCTCCGGTAATATAGAAAGCACAAAAAATGCAGACCATATGCTAAGATTTTGTGATTATAACTCTAGAATTATAGGCGTGGTTCCTAGCTTGGCGGAGGGGGGGATAGATAAAACTCCTAAGAATGCGCGAATACCGGATAATATTTCTTTAATTCTCTCTCTCTATGACAGCTTGCCATGACAGCTTGTTTCTATAGATAGTACGGGTTAAGGATGGTTATTATGAATCTGATACAATAAGGTTGATTTTAATTTGATACGAATGTTAGTGATTGATATTATGACTGTGAGACTGGTTGGATTTTTGATACGAATGTTGATTTTAATTTGATACGAATG